GGCGCCTGCGCCCGTGGCTCCCGGCGCCGCCCGGGCGACCTGCGGGGGCCGCGGCTCGCGCCGCCTCCTGGAAGCGGCGCCTCGGGGCCGGGGCCCCCCGCGGGCGGGGCGCGGCTGCCGGGCCTCCCGCGCTCCACCCTCCAGGGCCACGCCGAGGGCGGTGTTGCTTCCCGGCCAGCAGAGGCCGCGCTGGTCGGCGCGCTCCGGGCGTGCGCCCCGCGGGGCACTGCGGAGCAGAAGGCAGGACAACAAAAAGCACAACGCAAAAGGGGCGGGGCACGGGGGGGCGGCCGCGTGGGGCGCGCAGCCCAAAAGCCAAGCTTCGTGCGCACCGCGCACAGAACTGACGGGCACGAGGCACGCCGCGCGCGCAGAGAACGACGCAGAGGCTGGCAGCGCGCAGTCTTGCTTTGCACTACTCTCGGGAACACCAGAACCCACAGCCACCCCCGCTCTGGGGCAGAAGGCGCGAACAAAGGGCGCGCCCACTCCGAGCGCGCAGCCAGGGTCGCACACAAACTGCGCGACAAGACGCGAACGACAGGACCACGCGCAAACCAAGGGCCAGTGCGCCCGTGACTTCATGGCGCGCTAGGCCAGGCAAAAGCCGAATCACACGCGCAAACCGCCTGGGAGAACGGCCACCTTCCACGGGGACTCGTTGTAGAGCGCGCAACCGAGAAGGGTAAAACCAGACTGCTGCCCAGAAAGAATCCCACGAACCCTCTGGGAGGTAGTTTAGGGAAGTCTTTCTTCCAACCCCCCTTGTGCCCTTCGGGGAAGTGTCTGCCCTCCTCCCCTGCTACACGCCGGAAGATTCCCCCCCCTCTAGGCGAAGCATCTTGGGGAGCATCTCGGGACCCGCTTTGGGGCCTTTCGGGAGCCTCCTCGGGGCTTGTCCGAGGCGTCTCGGGAGCATCTAGGGGCATCTGCGCTCTTGGCGATATACTGGTGCCAACCACGGTCGCATGCATTGACCTCTCACCGTTTGGATGGTCTCTGGGGGCCTCCTGGGGCTCCGTTGGGGCCCTCTTGTGGGCTCCTGGGGCCGTCTTGGGAGCTCTCTTGGGGCCCTTCCTGAAACCGTCGGGAGGCCGCAGGAACCCCTCGGGGGCGAAACAGCGGGAGGACCGCACACACACACACACACACACACACACACACACACACACACACACACACACACACACACACACACACACACACACACACACACACACACACACACACACACACACACACACACACACACACACACACACACACACACACACACACACACACACACACACAAAACACACACACTTGATGCCTTCAAGCTGCTGCCAGGTGTTGGCCTCTCGGGCCGATGCCCTCTTGGGCAGTCTTGGGGCCACCTTGGGCCGACCTGGACGCTGCCTCAGCGTGCCTTGTCGGATCCTGTCTCGTCTGGTCTTGTCCTGGCTCGCCCTGCCTTGTCCTCTCGGGCGGTCTTGGAGGCCGTGGCACGCTGTCTCTGGGCCAGCAGGCCTACCTTACTCGAGGGGTCGGTCCGCCTAGTTGGAAGTTCCGCCCTGGGACAAGGGTTTCGCGACGCGTTGAGGCGTCTAGGATTGCCCAAGACGGCCCCAAACGGCACCAGATAACCAATACGGCATCCGAGATAACCGCCTAGATTCAGGATGGTTTCCAACGTACCTCCAAGAGGTGCCATGACCATCACAAGACGGCTCCGAGTGGGCCTGCGACCTCCCAATGAGCCCCCCAGAGGTCAAAACCGCTGAAAAACCTAACATGCGTTCAAGTGCCTACCATCGTGTTGTGGTAGGCCCTCGTTTTGAGTCAGCAGCGCCACGCGTCTCCCTTCCCCCACAGCCATTCTCGCTGCCTCTGCGTTCCGCATGCCCATGTCGGCACACCCCTCGCACGCTGCGTGGCCCCACAAGGAGCTCCACTGAACGCCTCAAAGGGCAAGTTCATGTGGCGCCAATTCCGGCACACCCATCGCATACTTCGTGGTCCCACAGGGAGGTCCACCGAAGGCCTGTGGTCAAGTTCACATGCGCTTCCGCTGCCCATTGCGGGACACCTCTCACAAGTTTCCGTGGCCCCACAAGGAACCCCACCAGATGAGCCCCCGCCGCTCATGCCGACACACCCCCTCACACGCTTCGCGGTCCCCGCCTCACATTTCTGCACACCCTTCGCACGCTTCGTGGCCTCAGAAGGAGCTCCACCGAAGGCCCCAGTGAGCAAATTCACATGCGTCCGCGCCACTCTTTTCGGCACACCCATTACACGCTTCGTGGCTCCACAGGGATCTCCACCAAGGGCCCCATAGGCAAGTTCCCAGGACGTCCCCGCCGCCCATTTCGGCACACCCCTCACAGGATTCGTTGCTCCATGGGGAGCTCCACCAAGAGCCCCATACCATAGGCAAATTCACGAGCGCCCCCGCCGCCCGTTTCGGCACACCCCTCACATGCTTCGTGGCCGCATTGGGAGCGGACCCAACACCACATGATGGTTGGGAAAAAAAGAAAAGGCTACGTAGTTGACAAAAGCAGGCTAAAACGGTGGGGAGGCCCTCGTATCCCAACCAGCTCAGCTCCAGCCCTCAGTGCACCAGCTCAGCACAGCCCCCACGAAACCCCTGAGCCTCAAAATGGCCTCCAGATGGGTCAACATGGCCCCAAGATGGATCCGAGGCGGCCCAAGATGGCCTCGAGACAGCGAAAGACGGCCCAAGATGGCCCCGAGAGGCCCTCCAGAAGAGCCCCCAGAAACAGCACCCAATGACTTCCCATAGGTTTTGAGTGTGCGTGATGTTATCGCCTTCCCGGGTTTCTGACACCACCAAAAAATCTGAATCAAGACGGCCCCAAGACGACGCAGGAGGCCCGCAAGACGGGACCCCTAACAGCCAAAAAGACCCCGCAGACGGCCGTGCGGCGCCCCAAGACGGGCCCGAGAGGTCACCCGGACGGCATCCGAACGCGCCGAACGGGCCAAGATCGCCGCAAGACGGCCCGAGATGGCCTCAAGAGCATCGCCGATGCACAGGCGATGCGAGACTCAATCCTCCGACCACATCTAATTACCCAGGCCCCATCTTCGGAGGCGTCCAAAAGGGGATCCTGAGAACCGACGTGCGAAAAAAAATGCGGCTTCGTGAAAAATCACGCCCGGGATCCTAGACCCCGCCTTTCGGCGACATGTTTCGAGCCAGATCGACATGTGAGGGCATTGGGGCCCGAAGGAACCCGAAAACGCCCGCCGTGAATCGTGGCCCGAGGCACCCATCTGGGAGGCCTGGGGCTGAGCGGGGGACCTTTTCTAGAGGCCTCCTAGATGGGGTCCGGGTAGATGGGGTCGCCATCATAGCCAATGCATCGCCAGTGCACCGCCGAGGTATGGGCGATGCATCGGCGACGTCGGCGAGACACACCGGCGACGTCGGCGTGGAGAAACACGGGCTCCACATCGAGCTGCATCGTCGATGCGTCGGCGATGCGGCGCGATCCTCCGACTCCATCTACCCATAGATCCGCTGTCGTGATTTTGTCCATGCGGAGCCACCGGAAGTCCCGACCCCTTCCCCAGGACTGGTTTCTCATCCCGAGTCGATTCTTGACGGTCCTGGGGCCCGGCGAGGGCCCCAAGAGGCCGAGAGTAGCGAAAAACCTCCGCCGAGTTCTTCGATGCGTTCGATTGAAGGGGCCCTGAGACACACAAATAAATACACACAAATAAAACAAATCCCCATATTTCCCTACATTTTATGGGCTTTTGTCCTCCCCCAACTTCCCATATTTTCCCATATTCTCTTGGGAATCGACGATGAATTGTGTCTGTGTGTTTGTCCCTCCCCTGATCGATCTCTGGGCACTCCGACCCCATCTGGGGGGCCTGGAGCCGAGCGGGGGGACCCTTTCCCGCCGCGGCACGCGGCCGCCGCGCCGCGCCGCGCCGCGCCGCGCCGCGCCGCGCCGCGCCGCGCCGCGCGCGCGGGCGCTGGCCGCCAGCGTTAGGTCGGGCGTGTCCCCCTACAGGCGGATTTTGGGCGAGATTTGTTCTTGCTGTTTTTTTTGGTTGTTCTCCCTACCTAGGCTCTGCCTAGAAGGGTTCTTACTCTGCTTGCTTAAAGGGCCGGGCAGCGGGGCACGCCCCGGGCGGTTCCCCCGGCATCCGCCCGGCGGTTCCCCCAGTGACGTTCCCTTAGCTTCGCGTTGCTTATCTCATCTTAGCTTAGCTTATTTCATCTTACCTTAGCTTAGCTTCATCTTACCTCAGTTTTATCTTAGCTTAGCTCACCTTCATCTTAGCGTCGCTGAGCTTTAGCATAGCAGAGCACGGCATAACATAGCATAGCGTAGCATAGCGCAGCATCGCATATTATTAGCATGGGTGTAATTCCCTACCTAGGCTCTGCTGAGAGGGTTAGCTTAGCTTAGCTTAGCTTAGCTTAGCATAGCGCAGCGCAGCGCTGCATTAGCATAGTATATCATACCATAGTATAGCATGACATAGCCAAGCATATCATAGCATAGCATAGCATAGCATTAGCACAGCATAGCATAGCATAGCATAGCATGGCATAGCATAGCATGGCATGTCATGGCATAGCATAGCGCAGCTTAGCATAGCATAGCATAGCTTAGCATAGCATAGCACAGCGCAGCATGACATAGCATAGCTTAGCATAGCATAGCATAGCGCAGCATAGCACAGCATAGCATAGCATAGCATAGCGCAGCATAGCATGGCATGGCATAGCATATCATAGCAACTAATGCTGCGTTCCTAGGGGCTCCAACTTCTAGGTAGGGTCGCACTGGGGTATGTTTTAACAAACAACTAAAGGACATATTCCCAAATGGTCAAACATATTCAAAACATCGTCCAAGAACTAGTTCTTTACTGTCTTTGAGTTTTCCCCCTGCAGAGGGACGTGCCCGACTTCACGCCAGCGTGCGGCCGGGGGGGGCACGGCCGCTCGCGCACGGGGGGGGGCGGGCAGCTCAGGCCTGCGGCGCCGGCGGGGGGCGACGGGGAGGCCGAAGGACACGCATAAAAATACACACGAGGAACAGGATTCCCCTACAATGAAAACGTATAGTAAGGACGCGTGGCAAGGACGCGTGACCCTTGGAGGCCGAAGTTGAAGTATTCTGGGGGGCAGGCGGCCAAACACCCAGGGACGCGAGTAACATGATTCCCCTGCAGTGAAAACGTATATTGAGGACGCGTGGTAAGGACGCAAGACCCTTGGAGGCCGAAGTTGAGGTATTCTGGACGGCAGGCGGCCAAACCCCCACGGACGCAAGGGTACCCTCACCCGCCCCCGTCCTTGACGAATTGTCGTCGGGGCCCAACGCAAAAACAACCCTGTGCGCGTTGACTGTATGTTGTCCACCATTTTCTGGGTTTGGGCTTTTCGACTAGACGCAAGAGCGACCTTTCGCAGACGTGACCTTGGGTGCCGGCACAGAGGGGTCCCCAGATGGCTGAACACGAAGCAGTAGCGGCTGGTTGCGCGCCCAGATGTGGTCCCCCCGCGGCACCCAAAAAGCCGCGCACCAAAGGTCACTCTTACCCAGGGTCACTCTTGCTTATAGCCGAGCTTCCCCCCCCCACGTCCCATTTTGTGTCACATGTTTTGGGAGATCGACGATTCATTGTGTCTGTGTGTTTTGTTGTTCCCTCCTGAGCGACGGGGGGGGTGCGGGAGGGCGGCGGGGGGGGCGAGGCCTCCCCAAAGACGAGGCTAGAACGAGGATGACATTGGGTACTTTGGGTTTCCTGATAATCGCGGGGGGGGCCCCCCCGACGGGGGTCAACCTCGCCACGTCGGGGGAGCTCCACCGAACGCCCCAGTGGCTGCGTTCGCACGCGCCCACCGCACCCATTTCGGCACACCCCTCACACGTTTCGTGGCCCCACAGGAAGCCCCACCGAAGGCCCCAGCGGCTGCGTTCACATGCGCCCACCGCACCCATTTCGGCACACCCCTCACACGTTTCGTGGCCCCACAGGGAGCCCCACCGAAGGCTACAATGGCTGCGTTCGCATGCGCCCCACGCACACATTTCGGCACACCGCTTACACGTTTCGTGGCCCCACAGGGAGCCCCACCGAAGGCTACAATGGCTGCGTTCGCATGCGCCCACCGCACCCATTTCGGCACACCTCTCACACGTTTCGTGGCCCCACAGGGAGCTCCACCGAAGGCCCCAGTGGTTGCGTTCCAATGCGCCCACTGCACCAATGTCGGCACACCCCTTGCACGTTTCGTGGCCCCACGGGGAGCTCCACCGAAGGCCCCGGCACAGCCCTCATGCGTTTCGTGGCCCCTAAGGATCGTTACCGAAGAAGATACTCACACTTGCGGTACGCACAGCTGCATATGGTTGGGTCCTTCGCCAGGATAATGTTGTTCCTCGATCCGTTCCCCCGCCCCCCCGAACGCGGAAACTCGCGCGCGGGGGGGCGGGGAGGGTGGAGGGAGGGAGGAGGAGGAAGAGGCAGGGGGAGGGAGGAGGGAGTGGAGTGGAGTGGAGTGGAGTGGAGCCCGCTGCAAATGCAAGTCGGCGCTCCTGCCTGACCCATGGAGACTGAGCTCGTTTGCCCAGCCTTCTTTTCGGGGTTGCTGAAGACCTTTGGCTCTCATCTGAAGGAGGCGGGGGAGGAGGAGGAGGGAGAAGGAGACAGGAGGAAAATTCGTCCTGGTCCCCGTTTCGTCTTGGGTGAGGTCGGATGGGGCTTGGACGAGGATCGATCCGTTCCAGGGCGTTCCGAAACGCTCTCAGAGCGTTCTGGAACGCTCTGAAAAAGGCCGCGGTGCTCGAGGCATCCTCCAGAGCCGCCGGATCTCAAAATCCGCCGGCCCCCTTGTGGGGCCACCAGGCTGTAGGCCCGTGATTCGCAGTTTCCTGTACCAGTTGTAGTTTGTAGTTTCCAGTGTTACAGTTCTGCTTCTTGCTGGTTACTGTAACTAGTTGATTGACCGCGCGAGGGGAGGGAGGCCCAAACCAGATTTTTAGCACCACCTGGGCGCGTTGTCTGAATTGCTGGGGGGGCTCAAAATCGACACCCCTCACGCAGATCCGCGGGGTCAGGGTCCAAAAACACATGGGATTTGCCACATTTCTGAAATTCGGTGCCACCCCTCACGCAGATCCGCGGGGTCAGGGTCCAAAAACACAGGGGATTTGCCACATTTCTGAAATTCGGTGCCACCCCTCACGCAGATCCGCGGGGTCAGGGTCCAAAAACACAGGGATTTGCCACATTTCTGAAATTCGGTGCCACCCCTCACGCAGATCCGCGGGGTCAGGGTCCAAAAACACATGGGATTTGCCACATTTCTGAAATTCGGTGCCACCCCTCACGCAGATCCGCGGGGTCAGGGTCCAAAAACACAGGGGATTTGCCACATTTCTGAAATTCTGTGCCACCCCTCACGCAGATCCGCGGGGTCAGGGTCCAAAACCTGCTCTTCCATTGCCCATTCTCCGAGAGAGGGGGCCGGCGGCAGGGGGCGAAGCCCTTACGGATTATCCTGGCGAAGGACCCAACCATACGCAGCTTTGCGTACCGCAAGTGTGAGTATCTTCTTCGGTAACGATCCCTATGGGGCCGCGAAAAGCATGAGCGCTGTGTCGGGGCCTTCGGTGGAGTTCCCCGTGGGGCCACGAAACGTGCAAGGAATGTGCCGACAGTGGTGCTGTGGGCGTATTGGAGCGCAGCCAGTGTGGCCTTCGGTGGAGTTTTTGTGGGGCCTCGAAACGTGTGACGAATGTACCAATGTGGATGCGGTGGGCGCATGCGAACGCAGCCGCTGGGGCCTTCGGTGGAGTTCCCTGTGGTGCCACGAAACGTCTGAGGGGTGTGCCGAAATGGGTGCGGTGGGCGCATGTGAACGCAGCCGCTGGGGCCTTCAGTGGGGTTTCGTCTTGTGGGGCCACGAAACGTGTGACGGGTGTGCCGAAAGGGGTGCGGTGGGGTCATGTGAACGCAGCCGCTGGGGCCTTCGGTGGGGTTCCCTGTGGGGCCACGAAACGTGTGAGGGGTGTGTCGACATGGGTGCGGCGGGCGCATGCGAATGCAGCCGCTGTGGCCTTCGGTGGAACCCCATATGGGGCCACGGATCGTGTGAGGATTGTAACAACATGGGCGCGGTGGGAGCATGCGAACGCAGCCATTGTAGCCTTCGGTGGGGTTCCCTGGTGCCACGAAACGTGTGAGAGGTGTGCCGAAATGGGTGCGGTGGGCGCATGCGAACGCAGCCGCTGGAGCCTTCGGTGGAGTTCCCTGTGGGGCCACGAAACGTGTGAGGGGTGTGCCGAAAAGGGTGCGGTGGGCGCATGCGAACGCCGCCACTGGGGCATTCGGTGGACATCCCTGTCGGGCCACGAAACGTGTGAGGGGTGTGCCGAAATGGGTGCGGTGGGCGCATGCTAACGCAACCACGGGGGCATTCGGTGGAACTCCCTGCGGGGCCACGAAACGTGTGACGGGTGTGCCGAACTGGGTGCGGCGGGCGCATGTGAACGCAGCCGCTGGAGCCTTCGGTGGGGCTCCCTGTGGGGCCACGAAACGTGTGAGGCGTGTGCCGAAATAGAGAGGACAGGAAAGGAGAGAGGGCGGCGCTTCTGTGGGAGGAGGGAGGAGGAGGGGGAGGAGGAGAGGAGAGGAGGAGTGACGCGGGGCACTGTCTCTTCAAGACGAGGACCCAACACCACAGGATGGTTGGGAAAGAAAGGAAAATGGAGGAGGAGGGGGGAGGAAGGAAAAAACACCTCCTCATGTAACACGAGGCCAAGACCATGACATATTCGGACTGGGAAATCATCGGGAATCTGTGAGACCTGGCAGATATGGGGGACGCATCGGGCGCCGCAGCCGTTCGAGAAAGCTCTGGAACGCACTGATAGCGTTCAGGGGCAGTGTGGACGGACTTATCCTTGTCCTGGCCCCACTCAGTCCATGTTTCGGGCGGTTCCTCCATCACCACGGTCGAGAGCGACTCGAAGAATTGGTCGGGATGGACATCCGGAATGGATCTGAGGACGAAAGTCATCGTGCTACTATATAAACAACGCCTAACACAAATGAGATCCCCAACCTGCATGTTAGGAACGGGCCAAAAATAACAGCCCTCCTGAACCCAAAGCGGTCCCGGGGATGGCGTCCGATTGCGGCTGTCCTGATTGTAGGTACGACTGGGGCTCCTCTCGGGGGTCTTGGTGTCGTTCGTGATGTAGGCGAAATCGCACTTGTTTCCCAGCTCGCACGTCCTGTTGGGGTCGGCGAAGAACCTGCATTAAGCGACGTGGGGCTTCCTGCATCGGTCGAGTAGCGGACAGGCCCAGTGCTTCGCGAAAGGCAAAAAGAAGTTGTCGACACCTCCATACTTGCGTGGCTGAGATGGGCCACGTTCGGTTGAAAGCTGTCGTTGGCGGGCGCCTCTGCCGGCCCGTGACGTGCGCCGCGGCGGTCTCGGAGTAGAACGGTTACCTGATCCGGTGTCTAATCGACGCCGTTCACCGATCTTACTGCGACCTGTCTCGCAAGATGCAAATGCGGTCAAGTCGTGGCGAGTCGACTCATGCTTGATATTGCGTCGGTGACTTTCGAGTCGGTGCATCTCGACGTTGGCAAGGGCGCGATCACGAAGCCAAATGCATGTGCGATTGGGATCGCCCCCCTTCACGTTGTTGTAGTCGCGCATTCCACGCTTCACCCATGGATGTCCACGGCGAATCTGCGCCCTGAACAATGACTCTATCATCTTCGTGGCTGATGGATCACTGCGTTCCAAGAGTATTTTGTCCCATTCCACCAAATGAAACGCTGCAGATGTTCATATCGCATGCGCATGAGTTGAAGACGCTCGAAATCGCGCGTGGCGTCGTCGACGTCGGCAACCTCGTAGGACTGAGGGATGACCCAATACGTTCGTCCCCCCTTCAGCATGCGGCCAGCTTTATGTGCTTGGGCCTTCAGGTTCTTCATGCGGTAGCGAAGTCCAGTAGAGAGAGCTGGCGATAGACCAGCGACCAGCTTGCAGTCGACGCTTTCAAAGTCTCCATTGCCCCGAAGATCCTCGGAGGTAGCGCCGTGCTTTTCAGCGCCGCAGAAGGCGCAGGCTTTCGCGGGGCGAACTGATGCCCTGCCGAAGTCCACCCTGGACATGCGTCGCCGCCCTTGCAGCCGCGTAATCCGCGGCAGCTGGAGCATTCCAACAGCATCACATTCCTTGATCGGAGTGGCGCCACCGAGAGAGCGCTCAGAAAGATTCTGGGATTGGGACACGCACAGGGCGCGCGCGGCGTGTCAGGGCAGATGTTGCTGCTGAGGCTGCCCCTGGTGACGTGCGTCGCGGTTGTCCTGCGCGGATGTTCCCATCGGTCGAAGGTTGGGCGCTGTCGGAAACGTCTGCATGAATTTGCAAAGGGTCGCATGGTCGCTGACGCGAACCGCCGGGGTGGCTCGGGTGGTCGCGAGTCCCCTATGCGTCCTCTCAACGCTCTGTCGAAGACCACCGGCCTCGTCTCTGGCGTCATGACTTCGCTGCGCGTATCGATCCAGCCGGTGCTCTAAATATTGGAATCGTCGGTCGTGCGCTTCGCGCTCTTGTTCCAAACGGGCGAGGAGCGCCGCGGCCCGTGCCTTTTCAATGTCTTTTTCCCGGGGGGAATGGGTGAGCCGTTGCTGCGCGCGCCCCGCCGCCTTCCTCACCTCGGCCAGCTCGGCGACGAGGAGGGCGGAATCGCAGGCCGAAGTCGGGGCGCCCAGCCGGCCAATCTGGGCCCGCGGAACGCGCAACTCAGCCAGCGCAGCCCGAAGGTCAGGCAACTGCTGCTCGACCGCGAGGACTCGGTCCGCAAGCGCCGGCGCGCGCCCCTCTGATGCGTCATGACGTTGAGCAATAGCCATCTCCGCATTATACAGATTACCGTGCAACTCGGCCGTGGTTGTGGTACTCTCGGGGTGGAGGATTGCAGTTGTCACGTCTACGCGATCACGATGTGCGATGAGGTCGTCGCGAAGCAGTTGATCTGGAATTCCAAATACCTGAGCGGCAAGCGCCTGCCGCAAGGTAGGGATGTCGTCGCGCGAGGCCCCGACGGCGGCGGCGCCCGCGCCCCCCTGGCGCTCGCGAGCTGCATCTCCACGGCGAGAAAGTAGTCGCGACTCGTCTGGGCGGCAATGGAGCTGGCACCTCGGTGGGACCCCACGCGGTCGACTTGGTACTGGACCTCGTCGGGGGCGCATCAATCCTCGGCGATCCGAGCGTCGACTCGGGCAAGAGCGCGATGGATCTGTCGCCGCAAGGTCGCCGTCTGGGTCGCGGTGTCCGCGACCGTCGCAGCGAGGCCCGACGACTGCCTGGTCGCGCATGCCCCAACCTGGTCTCTGAACTCTGCCAACTCATTGGCGGCGGGCGATGCGCGTGGCGCAGGATGGCGCCTCTGGGAAAATTCGGCCAGGGCCGCCTCTGCGCGGGGCTGCGGCTGGTCTCCGCGCGCAGAGACTGCAAATGAAACCGATCGGGTCTTATTATCTGCGCGGTCTTTCCGCGAAGACCTTCGACGGGGCGAGCGCGTTCGGGCGCGGGGGCAGAAGCGGGGCTCGAGGGCCGACGGGCGCCCTAAAGGCGGCGTCGCGCGGAAGCGCTCGGAGGCGACGTTTCGCGCGGGCCGTCGCCGGCGGTTCCGCTGGCAGGAAGCGCGGGGGAGGAAAGCGCAAGTTATTCCACCGACAGGAGGAGCGGAGACGCACGGGCCCCATGCGCCCGCGGGGTCGCACGCGCATTCGGCCCGAACCCTCGGGCGCGCGACTGCGCCCGTGCAAGGATTGCACCCGACAGAAAGGATTGGGATGTGCCCATATCTGACTGTCGAGAGCGCGCCTGTTTCCGAACGCCGAAGCTCCGCGTCGCGGCGGGCGTCAGCGCTGCCATCTCCTGGTAGGGAGGATTGCGGTCTCATTCCCCATGTCACTGCCCGCCCCAAGGCCGTCGCGTAGCCCGCGCGTCGTCGGAGAGCCACCGCGCGCGGAGCCACGGGGCCCTCGCGGGTCCAGCGGCACGCGCGGGGCGCGCCGTCAGCGCGAGGGTCCGTGATGGAGAGCGAAGTAGAAAAAAACGAAGAACCTGCGAACGGAGGTTGACAACCGAAGGGTCGAAACTACCGTCTGGTCCGTTGGTAGAAGATGAGGTGAGGAAGACTAAGAGCAAACGCTCTTTTTTTCCTCACGTCCCGATAGCCCTCGGGCTCCATATCCAATCCAATACCTGAGCCGAAAAGGATAGCAGGGCATATGGATAGAAGGGGAAGGGGAGCAGTTTTCACTAACATCTTTGTCGCCAGCTGACGCGATGGCCTTCGCGACTGCGAAAGGCACCTGAACGCAAGCGGAGCCCATGATCAGCTCGGGAGATATGTTGGCCACGGGGTCGTCGTAGCGCATGTCTCGCAGCTTCCGCGCCTCCGTCGCGCAAGCTGCCCCTGCGGTGAAGCCTGCTGTCGCGATGCCCGAACCCTCGTCTAGCAGAAACGCGTGGCAGGTCGCCGTCATCCGCTGGCGAATGTTGAGGCAGCCCCTGGCACGAGCCAGAATGGGGGCGAGTCGGAACACCATCTGTATTTCCATCCCCGGCAGCCTGTCAGAGGGCGTCTTGGGACAGACCGTAGTTTCGCATCGGCTCGTCCTCGCCGTCCGCTGCCTGGCGCCGAGGCTGAACGCCCCAGCTGCCGCGGCCAGACGGTGCTAGAATAGCAGCAACCCAAACCCCGAACCCCTTTTTATATCGAAGACGCACCAACCAGAGACACAGGACAGACGAAAGATGGAGGCTTCATAACCTCTTGATGAGAGGGAGGCCGCTATGAACGACACGTCATAGCAATCAAGGCATTGATCGCGCGCTCCTGAGCGATGTTAATGGTGTGTAAAACTATGCGGCAATAGACGCATTGGTTGGTGACGATGGTACAGCGGAGACCAATCCACGAGAAACCTCCCACAAGAAACCCAACCCTGAGACATCAGGACTTCCATTCATTTTTCGTGTGGGGGCGTCACGCTCTCCTTGGCAAAACCATCGGAGCCCCAAAAACCCAGGGCACCCCGGAGGCACGCAGGCTGCTTCTTGGCACGGGCCCCCGCTGTGCAGGACCGAGCGGCAGCTGTGACTGCCATTCTTCTGGAGCCTCTGATGCGGGAGCAGCGCACGCCTGGTAATGAACACACGCCCGCACTCGACACCTTCTTGGGCGCCCGAGTTATCCGGGGTTTCTCGGGTCCGGGGTAACTCGGGTTTGGATTCCCGAAAAAGGAAACCGAGTTAGCCCTGACCCGAGTTACCCCTGATGATTCGGGGCTCTGGACGCCCGAGTTATCCGGGGTAACTCGGGTCCGGGGTAACTCGGGTTTGGATTCCCGAAAAAGGAACCCGAGTTATCCCTGACCCGAACTACCCCTGATGATTCGGGGCTCTGACCTTCGGCGTCGAGCAACCAGCACCTCCACTCTGCAGGAGGAGGAGGAGGCACTGCCGCGGCGTCCCCGGGCACAGCCCACGCCGGCGGCGGGAACGCCACCGTCCGAGCCTGTGCAAGCAGAGGCCCAGGATCCAGAGCAGGATACACCCTGCGAAATGCTTAAGAAATCATGGGTTAAGAAATTCATAGTCTCAGAACGTGAATAAAGACCCAGAATTTCTATTCAAATCTTAGGATTTACATTGAAACATTAAGAATAATCGAGACTCTGGCTGGAAATTTAAGTTTTCTTAAGCATCGCCTAAGGTGTACCTCTCGCGCAGATCTCGCCGGCGAAGGCGGAAGCCACGTTCATGATGCCGCCAATTGTGCGGTGGAGGTCCTCGCGCAGCCCGACCGGCTCGGACGCATCGAGCCAATCCTCCACAGCTGCGACAAACTTGGAAGCGGACGGGATATAGCCATTCCAGCAGACACTGCACCCGTGAGCCCCAGCGTCGGCTTGGCCTCCAGCGGCAGTTGCCCAAAGACCAACGCTAGCCCTTATGGATGTTGGTGAGGGGCACTGAGTCAACGACTTGCCTTTGTCGTCGTAGGTAGGTTGGCCGTCGTCGAGAATCGGGATCTTCTGGCGCGCATCGCCAGAGAGAAATTTAGAACGATGCATTCACTGAGCGCAGCCTCCTGCACGACTGCGCCGAAGACAATCCCCGACAGCCTCAATACCTTGTTGCGAGACCAGAAGCACCCCTTGCCGTAGTACCCTCGCTGAGCTGCTTAAGCCGTCGTCGGAGTTCGAACAGAGCGCTGTCAGCGATCGGCATCTGGATGCCGAGCACGCAATTGTCGTACTGCACTACACCCGCGATGGGGACTTGACCGCCAAAGACCTTCTGGGTCTGACGCCGAGACCCAACACTGAAAGGAACCTGGAGGCACCGAACTTTTGCCAGGACTGTGCGCGTAGCCGTGCGGATGGAGAGATCGTCGCGTTGCATGAGAGGGAGGTGAGGAGGCGGAGGAGACGGAGCAGGAAGCAGAGGAGGAACACAGAGGAGGGGGGATGGGAGAAGAGAGCGGGGAGCAGGGAGGGAGGTGGAGAGGCTAACAGGTGCCGATGCTGCGACTCCCCAGACGCCTCCCGGGGCGCGCTCCGGCCAGCGCGCCGAGGCGCATCGGTCGGCGGCGACGAGGGCGTCCCCTGGAGGCACGACGAGGGCGAAGACGAGGGAAGGGCAGCGGTATCGGCACCTCCCCCTCCTCGGACCCTGACCTTCCAGGAGGGCTAAAAAATGGCACCCGACTTAAAAACCTATCCCAAAGCTATTCTACGTCTTGGTTTTAGGCTGTTTCGCTCGGCTCTTTAGGTTTTTAGGTCTCCAGTGCTAAAAAATAGCTCTCTGGAAGGTCAGGGGAGGAGGGGATCGCAGGGCGACCTTGTCCAGTCTGCGCAGCATCGTGGTGTTGTACAGCAGGGACAGGGTGCCCAGGGCGCTCACCAAGCCTGGGAGGCCCGAGGCCGGGACACACTCGCCGCGCCTCTTCAGCCCAGCACTGCCCGCCCAGCCCCTGCGGGCGATGCCGGACACCAATCCTCCTCCTCATCCTCTCCTCCTCGTCCTCGTCCTCGTCCTCCTCCTCCTCCTCCTCCTCCTCCTCCTCCTCCTCTTCACTCATCCTCATCATCATTGTCGTCGTCGTCATCGTCATCGACATCGTCATCATCATTATCATTATCACCATCACCATCACCATCACCATCACCATCACCATCATCATCATCATCATCATCATCATCATCATCATCATCATCATCATCATCATCATCATAATCGTCAGAACCATCTTCATTATCACCCTCATTCCCCTTCTCCACCTCACATCATCATCATCAACAACATCCTCACCACCATCGCATCTCAAGCATCGTAAGCATCATCACCATCATCTCCGTCATCATCATCATCATCATCATCATCATCATCATCATCATCATCATCATCGTCATCATTACGGTTACCGTCATCGTCATTATCAGCACACTCATCATCATCAGCATCATCATCATGATCATGATCATCAACATCATCAGCAGCAGCATCCTCCTCACCATTACCATCACCACCATGATCGTCATCACCATCATCATGATCATCATCATTTTCACCCTCGTCCTCCTCCTCCTCATCCTCCTCGTCATCATCATCATCAGCAACAGCATCATCACCGTCGCATCATAAGCATCGTCAACAGCATCAACATCGTCATCATCACCATCATCACCATCATCATCATCATCATCATCATCATCATCATCATCATCATCATCATTGTCATCATTATCATTACCGTCATCGTCATCGTAATCGTCATCATCACTAGCATCATCATCATTACCATCATTATCAATATCATTATCATGATCATCATAAATCAGTCTCGTCGTCGCCGCCGTCATTGTCAACGTGCTATCCCTGACCGCCTCCAGCCCTGATGACTCGGGGCTCTGAAAGGGGAAGGGGGGAGGGGAAGGATCGTCGGCGAGCGAGGGGTGGGAAGTGAGAAGGAGAAGGCCTTCTCAGAAGGCGGCGGGACTTCTCAGAAGCCCTCGCGCCTTCTGAGAAACTTGTCGTGTCTTCGTGGAAGGCTTCGACAACTTCTCAGAAGGCACGGGGACACGTCCGAGCCTTCTGAGAAGGCCCCCCCTTCTCAGTTCCCCCCTCGCTCGCCGCCGAGAGGAGGGGCGAAGGGAGAGCGGGGACAACCTCGGGCTGCGCTCCCTCCTCCCCGAGCGGCACCGGCCGGCATGAACTTCCCGCTCTTGACGGCGCGAGGCAGCATGCCTGGCCACGGAGGGAGACGAGCGCGAGACGAGTCGGCGGCGCGCCCGCGGAGGAGGAGTGGCCACGAAGCAGCCAAGAAACCCTCAAGAGGCCTCCCGAGACGGCCTCAAAGAGCAACCGTCGCCACATGCCCGTGGGAAAACGTGCATGTTCAGCGCAGTCGCCTCTGGTACGTTGACAACGCTCAAGACAGACCACGCGGGCAAACAAAACCACGCAGCGGCGATGTAACACTCATTCGCATCCCTCCCTGCTTGCACTGATCGCTGGAAAGACGTTACGGAAAGGGCTCCGCCTGAGCGTGCCGAGAAGTGGTCTGCGGGAGAACAGGCCTAAACCTACCTTCCCACCCTGTAGGTGACTTTCCTCAGAACGCTCGAAGTCCCTCGGCCTTCTGAAAGTTGTCTGAGCCTTCCCCGAAACAAAAACACTGAAAACTTTTCAGGAACCCCCGCGGGTGACCTGGGAGCTTTCTGTGGCAACTCATGGGAGCCTCCCATGACATCTTGCAGGCTCTTGCGAATCGGCGCTAGCAGACGCATAATCGACGCTGATCAACGCCAATGGACGCTAAGCGACGATACACCTGCTCTAATCGACGCTACATCTGTGCCCTCCCATCGATTACCAGACGCTAGCGCGCGCGATAGCGCACCCCGAAAATTGAACTTCGAGGACACACGTGGCTCCCATGATTTGCTACCGAAGGAGCCGGCATCCCCGCCTTCATCCTCCACGAGAGAACAGCCACGAGCTCAAGGCCGACGGACCAGACCCGGCAGCCGCTTGGGACAGGACAGGGGGAAACAAGGGCTCCTAAGTTCGCGCTTCGCGCTGCGCGAAGCGCGAACAACTTCGCGCTCTCGCGCCGCCCCCCAAGGGGGAGAAGAGGAGGACGAGGAGGAGGAGGAGAAGGAACGAGGACCGCGAAGCGCGAAGCGCGAATAACTTCGCGCCCTCGAGGGAGCCCTTGGGGAAAGACGTGCCAGACGAGCCCGGCGGTGCTGCGGCTGACGCGTGGCCGCCAGCAGGGGCGGAGGGGGGGGGGAGAGGAGCACGCCGTCCTCCCCGACGCGCCTAATTACGGCCAGCTGTGGGGTGCTCCATCGCGTGGGCCTACCCGGCACGGCCTCAAGAGAGCTTCGTCGGGTGACGGACGTGCTGGTGTGGAGGCAGGCTCGCGGCGCGCGCGATGCTCACCGACCTACGGCAACTGCCACGATTCGCGACGCAACATATATGCATCGACAAGCATGGACGTTCTCTTCGGCAGCACGCCATGCTTCCCCACGTCCACTGCGACGCTCTGCACTCAGCCCCCCGAGGGCCCCTGGGACTGCAGCAAGAGCGGATGTTCCAACAGACGGGGCTGTGCTTTACAGGTTCCTTCCGATGCTGCCGATCTGATCTTCAGCGAGATTGTATCCTAGCTTCGCGCTTGAGCGGCCACTGTGTCTGCCCTCCGGGCCGACCATGGGGATGCGTCGGCTCTCATGGCGGCGTTGTTGCACTGAAGGTCTTCATCGTGCTTGCTGCTGGAGTTGCACCTGCTGCCAGGGTGGATGTTGTACAGCGGAGGTCGCCATCTTGACCCCGCACTTTTGTTTTACCTCAATTCGTTAGTCTGCGGCGGGATGCTCCCCTGCACTGGTACGACGCACCGTCCCTGGGATACCGCACAGCCTGCTACCCGATTTGAGGGTTTGTGAGTCTCCGAGGTATGATCTTGTTGGGACGATTATTGCTTCTTTCTACCCTTTTGGTTGTGGCGTCGTGCCAGTTAACCGGCACAGCTGAAAGAGGGAGCATGCCATCCTCCCCACGCTGGGTTTGGGAGTGTGGAAGGCACCTCTTGAGCCGCCGGCGGGTGCCAGGACGAGATCAAATGACTGGTGTCGGAGCAGGGCGAGTTTGCGGAAACCAAAGAAAGGTCCCGATGCCGCTACTCCCCGGACCTCTCCCGTTCTGACCAGAATCTGCATGGCGAATCCCAGAATCTGCGTGGCGAATCCAGCGGTGGCGACGCGGGCCTCCGAGGAGGCCCAAAAAGGGGCAAACGAGGAACGGGTAGAGAAATGGGTGCCTTCTCCTCCTCTCTGAGAGTTGAGGCAACGGCAGCTCGACATCGATTCGGCGTTGGACAAACCTCCCTTTAGTAAACCACACTTTAGTGAAAACGGCCCAAGGCCGAAACCGACGGACCTGGACCCGCAAAAATAACGGCCGCGACGCCCCCTCGCGAACCGAAAACGGCCAATTCACTAACCGACGTGTCAGGGTAGGAGCTCTATCAACCTCCGATCTCGGGGATCTTCTGACCCGGGTCAATCCAGACCCGGGTCAGCAGGAAACCAAAAACTGCAATGCAGGAAAAAAATAGCCTGACGAAGGACCCAACCATATGCAGGTGTGAGTACCGCAATTGTGATTCACTTTTTCGGTGGTGATCCCTATGAGGCAACGAACCGTGCTAGGGGTGTGCCAGCCGAGCCTCGAGCTCCCACTGCACGAAGCGCCGCCTACCAGACCTCCGCGGTCCAGATCTAGAGCTCCGGGTGGCTGAATTCGGGGGGGAGCGAGGACGAGACAGGCAGAAGAGAGAGAAGGCAGGCCAAGCCCAGCAGGGCTAGCCGGCTTGTGAATATCTTCTTCGGTGAAGCTCCCTATGGGGCGAAGCGCTGCACTGGGTGGGGGGGAACGCTGTACTGGATGGGTGGTGTGCCAAATTGTGCTTCCGGGACGCATGCGGACGGTTCCACCGGGCCCCACGAAACGCTGTACTGGGTGGGTGAAAATGCCGAAATGCGTTTCCAGGACGCACGCGGACGGTCCCACTGGGGGCTTCGGTGGGGCTCCCTGTGGGGCCACGAAGCGCTGTACTGGGTGGGTGAAAATGCCAAATTGGGTTTCCGGGACGCAAGCGGACGGTCCCACTGAGGGCTTCGGTGGGGCGCCTTATGGGGCCACGAAGCGCTGTACTGGGTGGGTGAAACGCAAGGAGGGGGAGGAGGGCCACGAATGGAGTTCCCTATGGTGCCACGAAACGCTACACTGGGTAGATGAAACGCAAGGAAAAGGGGGAGGAGGGCCACGAAACGCTGTGTTGGGTGGGGGGGACGCATGCGGACGGTAGACGTGGAACCTTCGGTGGAGTTCCCTATGAACCACGAAGCGGTGTACTGTGTGGGTGAAACGCAAGGAGGAAACGGAGGAAGGAGGAGGGAGGAGGGGCGGAGGAGGAGAGGAGGAGGGCCACGAAACGCTGTACTGGGTGGGGGGGGGGCGCATGCGGACGGTAGACCTGGAACCTTCGGTGGAGCTCCCTATGGGGCCACGAAGCGTGTACTGGGTGGGTGAAACGCAGGGAGGAGGGGAGGAGGGCCACGAAACGCTGTACTGGGTGGGGGGGACGCATGCGGACGGTAGACCTGGAACCTTCGGTGGAGCTCCCTATGGGGCCACGAAGCGCTGTACTGGGTGGGTGAAACGCAAGGAGGAGGAGGAGGAGGAGGAGGAGGAGGAGGAGGAGGAGGAGGAAGGCCACGAAACGCTGTGTTGGGTGTGTGGGGCGCATGCGGACGGTAGACTTGGAACCTTCGGTGGACCTCCCCATGGGACCACGAAACGCTGCACTGAGCGGGTGAAACGCAGGGAGGAGGGGGAGGAGGGCCACGAAACGCTGCACTGGGTCGGTAGACCTAGAACCTTCGGCAGAGCTCCCTATGATGCCACGAAACGCTGTACTGGGTGGGTGAAACGCAGGGAGGAGGTGTGTATAGGGTTGAAGTACAAGGGCACAGAACCCCTGATCCGCTGGTAGAGGGAAGGAGGGATAGATGGATGTCTTTCCCTCCTGCACGATCAAAAGTCTGATCGATCTGTCCCAATACCTGAGCCCAAACGGCCAGGCGCAGGAGGGGTGAGGATAAGGAGTATTATATGAGGGTATCACACGGGTTCTATTCACACACCCCGTCCCGAATCCCGCCCGTGAGGGTAGGACTCGGGAACAGAGGAAAAGAATCCGTCACCCTTTTACTCCTTCAATCCTCAAGTCTGCAGGCAGCTGAGCGCAAGATCAGTATAGCCTCAGCTGCAGGGTAAGGTAAGAAGGAACACCCAGGGTCCCTATTTCTTCGCCAAGCACGCTTTGGTGCCCCCTCGGTGCGCCCCCCAAAAACGCTTCGGCACTCGAGGGCGGAGAAGAATGAAACACGGGTGGGCGGAGAAAGAGGATCTGAGCAAGTTAAAGCAACATCAGAATCTGCCTCGCCTACGCGAGGCAGGTGTTGCCACCAGCTGTCTGATGAGAGCTGGCCGTCAGATCATTATCAACGCAATGTAAGCAGAATCTAAAGAGTAAACTATAAAAAAAAAAAAAAAAACGCATTCTGAGATCGCGTTGGTGAACACGATCGCGCTACGAAACACATCGATACATCAAAGCAAATGTCTGGCCAGACGCAAAGTCGCGTTGATAAGCACGAAAAGGTTGCATATGTATAAATTCTGTATTCGGCGACTCCCGTTGGCGTTGCTCCTTAGGAGGCTGCCTTGGTCATCGCAAAATATGCGTGCATGCGTGGCCACTTGTCTTAGATAGTGAAGCGGCCTAAAAGAATATAATAGCCACCGCTCAAGGCGAACTTGTATTATGATGAAGTTCAAGCCTTCCGAGCGGCGGGCCTGGCGGCCGACTCTACTACGCGTTGCCCCTCTCGTAGAACCTGCGGCCCCACATCCTATGGCCATCGTGCGACACGTAGCTCGTTTGCGAAGGTCTCCCAAGGGGTCCTCGGAATCCAGTGGCGGAACCACTCATTGTACTGGATGTCGCGGACGTAGACGAACTCGTCGTTGTTGTCCGTGATGTATATCCAGCATTTGATGTAGTAGCTCCAGTATCTGGGGCCCCACTGGCTGTCCTCCAGCTCGTCGCGCCACCATGTAGCGTAGTCCTCCGCCATGCGCGCCCTCTTGGCGCGGGGAGGTGCAGTAGG